GTATCCGTAAAAAATAAATGATAAATACCTGGCCCATGTCAACCACCAGGGTAATGTGCTGAACATTTTAAATACGAAATGATAATTTAAAATCCATTTAATTAATTATATGAATAGAAAAACCTGGTGTTAACAAAATATCCCCCCAATACTGCCAACGGTGTAAATAGAGATCCCATAATAGCATTAGCTGTGGGTAAGTCCGGGGTTACATACGATATTAATAATCCTAAATTTGAAAATAGTTATTTTAAAATTCAGTTATCTTGTTGAATTCAATAAATAATTCAAAAATTTAATATACGGTAATTACCAAAAGTCTTTGCACATGTCATTGTGAGTGATATTATGAACAAACAAATGAAAAATGTTTGTGGACTTGGTGATAATCCAAGTGTAAAATAGAGAATCAATATACATACGACTAATAGTATAATTTCTATAACAATCTGTTTTTTAAAATAAACAAGATTAATTTACAATTAATATAGCTTGAAATTAACAATAATATACGGTAATATATCAGGCAGGATTTATTAAATATTTTTAATAAAAATTAATTTAAATACATTAATTTGGGATCTACATTATTAAACATATTGCAAATTGAACCAATTAATTATCTAGTCTTAAATTGGTTAAAAACCACTATACTTTTAAGTTTTAAAATAATTGATAAGAATTAGCGAGTTCAAAACAATGTAGGGTGAAAGTTATTTAATATAATCCAGTTGAATTATTAAGGGCTCATCCACAATTATCATCAACTGATAGGCTTTCTGTAAGAGTATGCTATCTCTAAATACAAATATATGAATAATATTGTTAATATTGTATTAAATACTACAATAAACTTATATCACCTATCACATTCCTTCATTAGATTCATTCATTATCTATAGTTTATAATATAACTCATTAATATTATTCATAAATTTGTATTTAGAGATAGCATACTATTACACAAGCCTATCAACTGCACAAATATTGGCACCTACACTGATTTGGACCCATTCCCATAGAACTTTTGTAAACCCCTCTGGAACTTTGTCCAGGATAATCATTGATTATTAATCAAATATAAGGAGTTATTAGTAAAATGTCGGACAAATTTCTATAAGAATTGCATACAAACTGTACAGTAAGGCAAATCATAGGCCCAGCATTGAAATGTGTTTTGTGTACATTTTTATATCTATAGTTTATATATAAACTGGCTAATCTCATCATTTTATTTAGTTATATCTACATTAATATAATAACTTATAAGTATCATATAATAGCTTATATGCTAAAGTTTGGTCTATATCGCTATATCGTGCTTTCACATGTTACCTGCGTAATATTCGTTGCCAATAAATAAGGTAACAGTGCGTACGTACGATTATGGTGCTCCCTAAAAAGTAGGTGCTTCTCCGCAGATAATAACTATTAAAGTCGTAAAACATGATTACTAGGATAATATATAACAAATAAATTTAATATGTTCATATTTCAATATTATAACAATATTACTACTAATTATTGGTTACCGTACAACGATTGCAATATTTGCCGATGTCATGGTATACATTTGAAGTATTAGATAGAGTGCACCTCTAATATTGGTCACATCGGTGTACCCATCTCCAATCTTATAGTATATAATTGACAATAATAATGACGAGCACTGTACAGGTATTTATGTTGTTAATGATATGTTCAAAATATGTATTAATATTATAATTTTATTAAAATATCATTGAGACTCAAAGCATGTTATCTCTTAATATACATCTAATACATCGTGTATGGACTCGAGTGTAGACTGTATTATAAAGTGTCTACACTTAAGTCACATAATGTTTACCCTGTTAACGATGTATTAGCATCTAAACTTTATATTATAAAGATTAGACTAGTAAACTTTGTATGTGTATTGAGAGATAACATGCTTCATCAGTCATCCGCAAAGTTTTCAAAGATTAAGTTTGAAAGATGTGTCGTACCTAGGTATTTTTGTTAATTTACACTAAAACTGCATTAACACTAAAAACCTTTGTTCGATACATTTAACAAGCTTAATCATTTAAAACTTGTGGATGAGTACAGTGTGCTACATGCTTCCAGTCTCAGTGGGGAACATCGTGTCCTGTCAGTAAATTATGCAATTAGAATGGGTATTACAACAAACTATATGTCCCGATCGACAAATTGAATTGATCAAAATCGGCGAATATCATGAGCTAGTCCCGTAAATCCAGTTATAAACATATTGACATAGTAATTTTACACATAAAAATAACATTATTTCTATGGACGGAACTTCATGAACACTAACGGCAATGGACCGTCAAATTACAAACAAAGTGTTGTAAGGTTTACCCAAAATATTTGCGTATAAATTCATATTTTAAAATTCTAAATATAATGTTATAGAAATAATGTTATTTTTATGTGTAAAATTACTATGTCAATATGTTTATAACTGGATTTACGGGACTAGCTCATGATATTCGCCGATTTTGATCAATTCAATTTGTCGATAGGGACATATAGTTTGTTGTAATACCCATTCTAATTGCATAATTTACTGACAGGACACGATGTTCCCCACTTAGACATACGACTAGTCAGCAATACTATAACCTGGCCTACAAAACTGTGTTCAGACTAATAAATATATAATTGAAAATTGTATACAGTGTGTGAAACATATTTCTCCAAAATTCAAAAACTGGTTTGAACTGGTTATTACAATTTGATGGATATAAATAATGTACAAATAATTTATTGTTTTAAAGTATGGTTACAATTTAATTTTAGAAATTAACTTAATTACCAACCAAATTAACTAAATTGGAACCAAATTAACTAAATAATGAACTATATCAACTAAATTTGGAACCAAATTAACTAAATAATGAATTAATGTTCTAAAATTATAACTATAATTTTTGTACATTATTTATATCTATCAAAATGTAATGTTGAATTCAAACCAGTTTTAAGTCTTTTGGATAAATATGAATTACACCCAGTATGTCAATAAAGGGATTAAGTGTAGATAAGAGTGCATATTTTTGTAGGCCAGACTATAACTATATTATAGTACGTAATTCCTACCAGATATACGATTGAAAGGTTTACTACATTGTAGTTTGGATTATGTTTTGAGACTACATACGAGCGCCACAATAGTGTCAACAATTGTCGCCAATAGCCAGCCCTATAGCCCGACCCCAGAGTCGAGATATTAATTGCTTTTATTTCTTGAAAGTTGTTGTCATTTGTATGGATAGTTAGCTTAGAATAACTCGATTCGAGGTAATTGTCACAAATTTTCTGAATATTATGATAAATGTTACAATAATTTTGAATAACAGTAGTATTCATATATAATAGACTATGGAAACAATTACATTGACTTTGTGTTTGTCCTGGGTGTAATTGGCATCTGTTATCGCTATTACAAAAAAAATATAAATTAAAAACTTATATGAATTCATTGGAAATATAATCCAGACCCAATTCCTTTATATAAAAATCGGACGGATTATAGCTTTTCGGACAAATCTGTTAAATGAAAAATATATATATCATTAATATTTGTAATATATTTGTAATATAATGTCAATGTTTTTGTCAATTAAATCTCACCAATCCTTGCGATGCAAAGAAATTCTTGGCCTCACCTATAAGTGCATACATTTATTAAACTAATAATTATTATATTATAGCAATGAGTTTATATTTGCAGTACCGATGGACCCCATGAAAGCTACCCTTCCGTCGGCCATAAGTAATAGACTGTCGAAGAGTTGAAAGACTGGAGACGAGGGCTGATGTATAGTACAGATGACAGTCCGTCCCTCCGATGCCATAGTNGAGGGCTGATGTATAGTACAGATGACAGTCCGTCCCTCCGATGCCATAGTCTTCAGCACTTGTACTATACTTTTGGCCATAAATGAGTCCAAACCAGTGGTCGGCTCATCACTAATGCATTCAATCATATGTTTTAATACAAAAATTTATAAAAAGTATTTCCGACCAAAACATTAGCGAAGGGTTTGTCATAACTTCTGAAGCAATGGACAGTCTTTTGATTTCTCCGCCGGAAATGCCTTTCAATCGCTTGTTGTCTCCAATCCTCGTTTCCGCACATTTCGTTAAATTAAACTAAATTTAAAGGATTTTTATTTTCAAATAAATATTTTTATCCAAACCTTTTGAATGACTCGTTGAATGCAATGGATTCTCTCATTTCTACTCAAAGTCCTATCCATTCGTAACAATGCCTTCAAATATGAGTTCATTTTAAAAATTATTATTTTATTCAAATATTTTCATTTAATTTTTATTTTCATTACAAATGTTATATAAGTTTTATATATTACTTGAAATAATAGGTGTTCTCTGACTGTAAGCAATGGTTGAAACAAATCGTGTTGTTGTATATACGAGGAAATGGATGCAACGGTCTGTTGACTGACTGTCTGTCCATTCATGAGTACCACTCCATTGACGGACAGTTGCGATAAATTCCTTGCCGTCAATACATTCAATAGAGTTGTCTTTCCGGAGCCACTGAATTACACAATCATTTAATACAATATTTTTAATAAGAAATATGTACTAGGATATAATAAGATATAATTCTATTATAAACTCAAATTCATATAAAAAGTCGAAGAATTTTTAAGTCCTTTATTTTGTTGACAAATAATTATTATATTTAAGAAATGATTCATTAAAAGATTTTCGACCATTTATGGGAATATTTTATACAAATATTATCATTTTGCTAACTATTAACTTTTGTAATTTTAAATTGAAATTAACTGGGTTATCTAAACATATGGGTGTCTTCAGGGTTTTAACAACAGATGAATGTAGTATTTGGTGGTATATTATTTCACATGTGAATTCACCTTACTTAAAATTTTGTGAAACCAAAAGTATTTTCTATGATAGATTTGGTTAAAATTACTGTTATCTAGGTGAATTCATATAGAAAAAAAATATAGCACCAAGCACTCCATTCGTCTGTTGTTAAAACCCTGAAGACACGCATAAGTATAGATAACCCTGTTAATTTTAATTTAATATTTACATGAGTTAATACTTAGTATAATGATAGTATATAATATAATAAACAAATCTGAATTTTGATTGAATAATGATTTTTAAATACAAACCTGGCTCCCATTATGGCCAACATATTTCCAGCTTTAACTTCACCTGATACTATTAGTAAATAGTCAAGTAATTACTTTTAAAAAAATAAATGTATGTAAACATTATTAATTTCAAATACCGTTCCTTAGGATCTCTTTCGTAGTTTTATTGGTTTGAAAACAATTATAAATAGATTTCTGTGTTTTAGTCAACACTTGGATATTAGTCCACGAAATACACACCGAATGTGTGGTCTCTCTCGACATACCATTCCTATTGTCGGCAATTATTTCCGACATTTCTATCATTTTATTTATTTGAAAAATAAATAATAAGTCTTTTTAAAACAAGGTCTTATACTTATTTAATTATTATATTAATTGTTTTAATAATATCTAATATAAATTTTAATAAAATTGAATGATTGTGCTATTTTTAAAACATATTTTCTTAATTATAATTCTTAGTTTCTGTTTAGCAAAATTGTTTTTAAAATATGCTTGCTTGCAGCATAAAACTAAAATAAAACTTAAATAACTTATCATGTCTTATTATTTGCACTATACATTTATTTATAAACAAAATTCCTAATATCTCTTAATTATGACCATGTATTATTTATTATCCTAGATATATTTAATTATAAATAAAGTTTAAGACAATATTAATGCATTAGTTTTGTATTAACAATTTCTATACATTATGAACCACTGACCTGAAAGATACCTCCGGCCCCCGCATTGTACACCGATGGGGCTTAAATAAGTTGTAGGGTACATGTCCCTGATAAATATCTAAAAATTATGGGTTTATCCGGTCCTTTAGTGTCCATTTATCGCCGCAAAAAACGTACCGAAAGCTTAAAACTTGATCAGAAATAATACATTTAATGAGTGAATAAAGTGTTTGAAATTTTGATTCTTTTTTTGAATCATTTTTATCGCTAATCCCTTTTAATCTCTTTTTCACAATTTTTGTTCAAAATATATATTCATCGATTAAATTCAAAAATAAAAAGATAATGATGCAGGTAACAAATATAAGCAGTTATTGTACATTATTTTCAGAATGTTAGTAAACAGTATTAGCTACTAATAATTGTTTAAAATAACACAAAATTTGATATAAAAAGATTTACAAGTTAACTTATTAATGATTATACTAAAATTAAATCTTTAATCAAATAAGCCAAAACAAGACCAGTTAAATCAAACAAACAGGGTAGTGGACAGTTTTGTTTTTATTTTAAATATCATTGTTATTACCATGCACCATATATTAGAATTTGGATCCGTACAATAATTTTGACTCGCAAACAAAGGGAACAAAGTTTCATCCAGATGGCTTTATTAATGGGAGACTATTTAGATTTCTATGAGACCGGTTAACAATTCATCAAAACTTGTAAGTTTTGTACATTTCAAACAGATATTAATATAATCTTTTTTTGTTATATTAACTTAATAACAATATGAATTGTAATAGGTAATTGGGAATGAGACGGGGTTTAGGATTAACTTACCATTTTGATAAATACATATACTATTTGTAATTTATAATTAATGGAATTTAAATGTTTCAAGGTGTAATTTACAAAATATAAAATAATATTTGCATAGAAATTGCTAGAAACCGGAGGTGGCGT